TTTTGACGAGTCGGCCTAGCTCGATCCATTTTTGGTAAACTAATAACAAATCGAGTCTAAATAGATCAAACCGACATGTTTTACCATATCTAATTACGATACTTTTAATGCTTTTAATACAGATCAAACCGACCTGTTTTGTCATCCCTGATCAACATTAATTAAATAGTACTTTATTATATTTTAATATTTTATATTAAATATTATTTTTGTACTACTGTATATTAAATAAAAAATTACATAATGTTAATAATGTCCTATTATTAAAAATTATTCTATATATAAATTAGAATAATAATCTTTTAAATAAAAATATTTTTAAGGATCATTATTCAATATTTCTTCATATTTTAAGATGATTTAAAATAAAATTTTAGTTTATGATTGCAATTTCTCTTCATACATTCATGAAAAATATTTATTCTCAATTCTCATGTGATATATTATATATATAAAGGTTCTACAATTATGACCGGAAACGTTTTCTTTTCATATACGGTACGTACAAACTATTTAAACTCAAAACTGTTAGTTAAAATAAATAATTTTACGCCAATTTATTTAGGCGCTTGGTTAAGGTTGTCTTAATTTAATAGACTTCATATATATATATCGATCAACATGTATTACGGACATATTATTTTATATGCTGAATTATAATGTATTGTAATTTTTAATCACAATTACCTTTAAAATATTATTTTTATAGTACTAAATACTCAAAATAAATTAAAATACTAATTGTAAATAAGAAACAGAAACAATACAATATACCATAATTGATGAAATATTTAAAGAATTAAAGAAATATTTTACAGCATTACATTAGTAAAAATAAGTTAATTTGATCAATTATTATGTATACATTAAGTTTAATATCAATAAAATTGATTATAAATTACTGCGACTTGGTGGTGGAATTGTGCTGAGGTTCAATTCTTATTATTCTGCTTATAATATTATTTTATTAATAAAAAAAGTTAAACATTTTTTTCTCATAAATTTCTAAAAGTTTAATTTTAGTTTTTCATATTTAAACGTCAAATTTTAGTTCTCTTTTTGTTATAATGTGTCAAAGTTCATTCTTATCACTAACTCGAATTCAATTTAATGATGATGTCTAGTCACACAGACACATCATCATATACTCTAACCCTACTTAAGTCTTAATTTAAAAAAAAAGCCCGTAAATGTTAAATATTGAATTAATGAAATTGGTGATATAATTAAACTTTGACACAATAAAATGAGTACTAATAGCTGACGATTTTAAAAAATGGAGGAATAGAAATGAGCTTTTACATATTTATAGATGAAAAATATGTTTAACAAAAAAATATTATTTTCAGAATTAAATTAACTTTATTTTGACCGAATATATATTAACTATTTTAAATTATATTCTTTTATCATAATAATTAAATTTTCATATACAAATATATCTCAAGTGATATTAATTAATTATTTAAATTATATTCTTAGTTCTTATATTTATTTTTAATATTCAATTTAATTATATTATTTTTAAATGATTCAATTTGATTATTTGATTTTAAAGAAAAAATATACAATGTTATTCTTTCGTCTAAAATCACATTAGCGGTGTTAATAAAATTCATGGAAAGATAATATTAAATATCGTTTAAAAATTAGATGTTCAACTTAAATCATTTAAAATATTCAATTTAGTCATCTATATTTAAAAAAATGTTAAATGTTGTTATTTTATTGAATTTTATTAAAGTCGTTAATATTAATTTGGATAAAAAGATAATAAACATTTTTTTAAAAAATTAAAAGGTCAAATTGAATCTTTTAAAAATAATAAAACTAAATTAAATCCTAAAAATAAACAGAATGTTAAGCATTTTTTAATAACACTTTGATGAATCCTGATTTATATTATCATTATTATTATTTTTTTATGCAATATTTTTCACTTATTTTTGTATTTTTTTGTGAGACCCCCGCAACCCTTTTCTCTTTTTTCTCCTCTCCCTTACTTGCATTCTCTCATATTCTCTTCCTCTCCCGTTGACTTACTTTTCCCCATTCTCTCTTCTGATTTTCTTCTATTCCTTGCTCTCTCAAGGTGTTGAGTAGTGGTGTTGGAGCTTGCTGAGGCGCATACATCCTTTCTCTTCTCCGTCGAGGTAAGGGAAGCTAGGTTTTTGGTTGAATTGGTTGGAAATGAGTTCAAAAACTCAGGTGTGGTTGATTTTCAGAAGATTGATGAGCTGTTTTGATGAAAATCCATTTTTCGGGGTTTCGGGGTATGGTGAAAATTTGGGGTTTTTCTATGTTTATGATTGCATGCTGGAAATGATTTGGTTTTCATGTTGTTGGATGAAAATGTGGTTCTTTGGATGGTTTGTATGTGTTTGGGCTGTTGGATTTTTGCAGGTTTGGGGGAAAATTTTCAAACTTGGAGAGTTGTTGCTTGGTAGCACGCCGGGCCTAGTTCTTGGCACTGGGCGCGTGACCATTAGAGGGCTCTATTGGACAAACCCGCCGGGTGCAAGGTTGTGTGCGCTGGGCAAGCTTGAGAATGGAAGCCCCTGGATGGCTCACGCTGGGCGTGCTTGGACTGCGCTGGGTGCGAGATCAGTCAGAGACTCACCTTTTTGGGGTTCTGGTGTGGCGCCGGGCGTGACTATGTCTCGCCGGGCGTGGAAACTCCTTGGGAGTCTCTGCTAGGGGTGGCGCCGAGCATAATTGGTATTGCGTCGGGTGTGAGACCTTGGGGAAGTCTCTGCCTTCCCTACGCCGAGCGCGGGTTTGGCACGTCGGGCATGTGAAGTTCCTTGGAGTCTCTACCTCTTAGCCTGCTGGGCGCAATTGGATTTGCGCCGGACACGTTTGAGCCTTGGAACTCTTTGGTTGAGCCACGCCGGGCGCAACCATGAATGCGCCGGGCGCGAACATGTACTTTCTTTATATGCTGATATATGTTGATATATGCTGATTTAAGCTGTTAATGGTGAATGTTGTTGAGCTGAGTAATGATTGTGCTGTGCCGTGAGATGTTCATGCTGAATTATGATGTTTGAGCTGTATTGTTGTAAAAGTTGAGCTGTGCCGTATGCTGTATGCTGTTAATGCTGTTATGTTATGCTGTGCTGCATGATGATATAAACTATTATAGGTCGTAAGACTGAGCTGTTGTAGGCCGTAAGGCTGAGCTGTTGTAGGAGATCTCTGAGCTGATATGCGTGACGACGCATTGTTTGTTTAATATTGATTTTGCTGAATAATGTGAGCTGTATATTGATGTGTTATATGCTGATCTTGCTAAACTCAATAATGTGCTGATAAGCTGTAGCTGTTTATAATTTCTGTAATTATATATATATATATATATATATATATATATATATATATATGCCGATTCTTTTCACTAGCTTACCCTTGTTGTTTCCATGTGGTTTGGATTGCAATGATCTTACTATGTATGAGAGCAGAGTATGGATAAGTTGGTGTGTTGAGGCAGGTGTACAGCTGACAGATGAAGTTGATGCTTTTGATATTTTAATGTTTTGGCTACTTAGTGTAGCAATTTGGCTATATTTTGTATATTGATTTCTTTTTTAGCTCCAGGCTAGACATATGTGTATATATTCTATTTTATATATGTATGCTCTATTTTGCGTGGTGTTGTATGTTGTGAAGCGACTAGGCAGGTTGTTACATTTTTTCCTTATTGAAAGTTAAAAAAGAACAAACACAATTTTTGAACAAAATAAAAAAAGAACTTACTTTTAAGTGAAAGATTTATTTTTCTAAGAACAAGACTTTTTCAAGTTAAATATTATGTTTCCTTTTTGTATTTATTTATCTGTACAAAATATTTATCAACTTTATCAATGTTTAATTTTGTAATTTTTTGAATCATTTTAATACATTTCTCTCTTCAATAATATTTTTTATTCATAATTCAAAAACATTATTTAAAGATTTCACCTCCATTTCTTTTGGATTCATGTGCTGCATCATTGTTGAAAGCTCTCGTGTTACACTTCTTTGGTGCATTGGAACGAAAATAAACGCAAAGAAAAGCTAAATCAAGTGCCCAAAAAAATTGTTGCTAAACAACAATCAAAGTTATAATAATTATTTTTCGTCTTTCATTTTGTTAATAACGTGCAGTTAAACTTAAAAATGTAGAAGCTCACTTTTGGTGCTTGATTCTTTGTACTAATATATATAATTAAAAAAATGTAGGAGTTAACATATATAATTTAAAATCTACCGAAAAAACTGACCGCCATTTTTATTTCGGAAGCTTCGTTATCAATAATTTCTTTCACCGACGTGACTATTGGATTCTATTGGATGAACTTTTTTGGGACCATAAACGTTTTTTTCTTTTTTTTAATAAAAAGATCATAAACGATAATATAAGTCACTTTAGTGACACTTTTAAGATAGATTGATCTTTGATGTACAATTTACACCTGAAAGTGAATTTTACCAATTAAATAAAAACAAGTGTTGAATGCAACGGATGATATTTTCTTATTTTGTGAAAGACATGTCTGTCCAATGACCAAACCAAAGCCAGCTTCAACACGGAAACGGGAAACAACCGTGAATTCGATTCCATAGGTGAAATAATAATAGAATTTAATCTTAATGTTTAAATCAGCTAACTTATGGATAGATATATAATAGATGAAATACTGAATGGCAGTAAAAGCTTTATTCTTATGGATTCAAACCAAAGAGACTTTTGTTTTAAAAATAGAAGGTGTGGTTTCCAAGAAAAAAGATAGTAAAGCGAAAAAGGGGTAATATGGAAAATAAGAAGAAAAAGGAGGGTAGATGGAGAGAGAGGTGGAATGATTCAGAAAAACTCGCGTGAATCTTTTGATCAGAGGTCAGAATCCAGCTACACACACAATTACAAACGTAGGTTGGAGTCGTAGTACAGACAGACTCCAAACTCATTTCTATTTTTATTTATTTATTTATTTATTCTATTGCCAGCCAGCTTCCATTGTTAATTATTATTAAGCAAAGTAAATATAAAAGCAAAAGAAAATAAAGCGATGCACAGTTGCTTCTTATGACTTAGACCAACACCTCCCAAAGATTCAGCGCATTTTTCACTCTCTACTCTTCGGTTAGTTACTTCACTCCATTTTCCACTCTACCGCTTCCACCATTTTCCTCTTCTCCTTTCTCTTTCTCACACCTATGCCTTTTAATTTTCGCCTCCTTCTTCAATTCATTAATCATTAGTAGGTTTTACGCTTTTTTTCCTTTTTAATTTCTTCCGATAGCATTGCGTGAGAAGTTGTTTCGGAGCTTGTATTTTTTTTTTGTTTCGCATTTTGTGAATGGATTCGCGATCGAGTTGCGGTAGTGTGATCAGTGCAGTTGAATTTCACTGCGTTGATTGAAAGCGGTGTAGGGGACTGTGAAGTGTGAATTATGCGTAATTCGTTGGAATTGTTAGGATTGGGGAGTAAAGGAAAGTGTGCAAGTTAAGAAAATATTATTGTGGCACTGGTGAAGTATTTATGGCTTTAAAAATGAGACGCAAGGTTGTCAGAACAGAACATGCATGCTTGTTATGTAACAAAAGGATTTACTACAAACATGTTGCTGATGATGTTCACTTTTGTATTTTTTTTTATAGAAATTAAACGCCTTATCAGATGTTAACAAAGTGTAGAGCCTCTTGTAAAATCTTTGTGTAGTGTGTTTTATTCTAATTAACGTTGATGACTGACTGTGTTGTTCATACATGGAAACATATTTTTCTTGCTGGAATAATGCAATATGAAGTAATTCATTGCACATATATATGTTGTGATGTAGATAATCTTATGTGAGCTTTTGTGAAAAAAATAAGGTTATTGATAGATTTAACCATACATGACAGACTGGCAGCAAGAGTCATTATTAGGTTGAGATATGTGGCACCTATGCTATAGTTTAAGTTGACAAGTCGCCATTTTTGGGATCAAAATCTTCCAGCTTGAGATAAGGTGTTCAAGAATTTACAATGACTACGGTGGTTAATTTAGATTTTAGTCATTCAACATTATGATATTGTTGTGGATATGTGTATCCATACTACTATTTTGCATTTTATGCATCTTAGGGCAACTTTTCAACCTCTGTCTCTCTCTTTCCCATTATC